AATAAGGGAGAGTTGGAGGAGAAGAGATTATAGTGTGACCACCCATTATGGAGGGTGCTTTTTTAACTTTCCCATCTATCTCTCTCTCTCCAGTGACTGTATGTGCCCTCTGGCAAAATTTTAAAAAGATATGCTAGAGGTGAAAGTTGGACTTTTAAGCACAGCTCACTATGACTTTGTATGTCTACTTGGGAGTTGAGAAACAGTTTGACAAGTTTTGCTTAGATGGAAAGGTATATTACTGAAACATTTTTAGCAAAAGATGCCCACCCTATACCTCCTAACCTACTCCATTTCTCCATGCACACTATGATAGATATACTAGTTGTCTGGTCAACCTCTAAAATAGACATGGCCAGCTCCTTCCTTGGTTTTTCCAAACATGGTGGCTCTTGTTTTAAAGTCTCGCCTTCCTTTTCAATTAACAGAGAATTATCTACAGTGGAAACCATGAAACCAGTAGAGGAGCAGGGATTCTCACTATGGAGCTTCTGGGTGGCAAATAACAAGAAGAAGTCATTCTTATGGGGAAGGGAGTGGGTGGAGGGAATGAAAAGAGCAAAAAAGAAAAATAAAGCAATTCATTTCTGACTCTGGTGCTGTTAACTGAAATAATTTTTTAATCCTCTATACAGAGTCATCACTGGCCCTTCCTGGAGCTACCTCCCAGGGCAGTTGTAAGGAGCCCTGATAAAGATTTATGTGGTTTGTTTTCTTTCTGCAAGCCTTTGAAGATCAACGAGGAGGTAATGTTTATGGTTGGTTGGTTAACCCTATGGCTCTCTGGGGTCTCCTTCGGCGACCCCTGGGCTGATCCTCAAGGCAGGAGGCAGAGGGTCTTGGCTGCCCCATCTGGGGAACTGGCTGTTTAAAGGCCAGGGTTGGAGAGAATTTCAGGCCCAATAGTTCTGGAGGCTTTGCTCACCACAACAGCGTCATCGCAGCAGAACGCCCCCACCGTCTTCGGAATAGAACCAATTCATCCCACAGGGGAGTGAACTCTTGAAAATCAGCGTCAAGAGGAAAAAAGAGGTTGGGGGTGACGCTTGTAAGATTGAGTTAAGCAAGACGTGAATAGATTTGGCTCTGAAATAGCTAATTCTGGTCAGGTGAAGGCAGAATTGTCCAAGTTCTTTGGCATGAGGGACGTTATAGAAAGATATGCATGTATTTTTAAAAATAAACAAATCTCTCCTTTATTTTTTTAAAAACGTTAATATTTTCCTGGCACTGCTGGTTAGAATTACTTGTCTGGGTGTCTTGAACTCCATTTCCGAAACCCAGCTGAAAACCCTGGACAGCTGGAGGGAAGTAGACACCTTGGAGGACTGAAATATTTGGTATGCCTTTCCGACCTTATTTAAAAATGGATCCATTTGTTTTTTTTTCTCATGTTCCTCCACATCCTAGGATAGCTACTAAGAGAACATTGGAAAAACATGTCTTTTGGAGCTGTGTTGACCAACAGTTCAGGGAAGCAGAGGGTTTTCCTTTTTTGTTTCATGCAGTAAGCTCTGTAAACTTAGAGCTCCAAATCTTTCATTTGTGTTCTGAAACCCGGGACTTTGCAGTGGGACTCTATAGCTTCTTCTCTGAGTACCAGTGACAGGGACTCCTTTGAGAACTTAAGCTCAGAAGAAATGTTGGCCATCCACTTACTGATTCATTGGTTCATTCTTTCAGTCAGCAAACCAGCCACTAGGTACGCAGTACATTTGCAAGTCATATCTATGATCCCAGGGACTCCATGACAGTCCTATAGGTGGTCATCTTCCACTTTTTCTGGCTGAAGAAATTGAGGCATAGTGATGTGGGGTAATTGAATTTCATTGCATTCTTGACTCCACACTTCCAGGCTGCTTTTTCTGGAACATGTAGTGAGACAATCCTAAATGTGGGATCCAGAAAGAGCTCAAATCCTGTATCTTAAAAAAAAATTGCTAGAGTATGTGCACTAACCAGAGAGAGGCACAGAGAAAGTGAGGGGGGGATGGGCATGCTGCGATTCCTTCATCTCCATTTTCCTTTCAGGATTTTGGGCACACACACACATGTGCTCAATGTGTTTCTCTTTTCTTTTTCTTTTTCTTTATTTCTCTTTCTTCCTTTCTTTCCTTTTTGTTCTTCTTTCTTTTTTTAGGGAGAGAGACTTTTGCTCTATGGCACATGCTCTCACCAGAGAGACAGAGACAGAGAGACAGAAAGCAAGAAATCACCCCCAGAGGGAGTGGCCACTCCACAAACCCTTCTCCTCCATTCTCCTCTTGGGATTTTGGGCATGCACACACACATGCCTGGCATCAGTTTAAAGCCTGTGGGTCTAGGACTTGAACCACAGTTGGCCATATTGGGGGTCCAGTGACATAACTATTATGAGATCTGCTGGTTCCTTGACATTTTTTTTTTAAGCCTCTGGGTCTGGGACAGGTACTGCATAATTGACCATGTAAGATCCAGCCACCTTGGCCCTAAATCCTGGGCCTTCTACTTGCTTCAGGTGAGGACTTGGGCAAGTGGCTCTATTTCCTCAAGCCCTAATTTGCTCATCTGTAGAATGGGGAGCAAAGCAACAATAACAACATTGCCAAGATTGTGTGGGAATGAAACCAGACCAGGCAGTCAGAGCCCTGCATAGCTAAGTTTTCCATATGAAGTATGAATGGCATTTTTTGGCCAACACTGTGACCCTCTGCTCTTGTCCTGGGGTCTGATAGGAGTACTGTAAGTTGACAGAAAGCTTGCCTGGACTCTCAAAGGGGTAGATCCCACCTCAGGTGCTATGCTGTCTGTGCTGGGCAGCAGTGGTCTTGAGAGCTGTCAGCTTTGGTTTCTTTACCAGGAGGTAGAAATACTTAACATAACACAGTGACCTCATGAGGAGCATACCAGATGCTATCATCCATAAACAGCCATTTATTCAAGTCAAGCAGGCCCCACATGCCACAGGTAAGCTGGGGAAAGAGAGATTGAATTGTTCAGTTCTGCAGGAGTGGAGGTTGAACAGAAAAGCAACACAACCCTTACTCATAACTTCCAATTGCTGCAAGTTTTTTTTTTTTTTAAAGCAGGTTAAACAGGTTTTCCATTGGAAGGTGTAGAAAAGACCCAAAGCCAGACAATGATAAAGTTTTCATTTTTCTACACTTGTCCTTCTCCCACTCTTCCTCAAACTCTCTCTCATCTCAAACCATCTGACCCTCACTCCACATTTCAGCATTCACCATGGCTCTGGATAAAACCTCTGAAGAAACATGTAAGGTACAATGTAGGTGGACTCAACTGCATAAAAGCACACTCTTCCAAATGAGTGAAAGCATTCCTACTTAAAAATGTATATAAAATGTAAATGAAATGGGGGG